AAACACAGCTTTAAAGAAATTCTCCCTTATGAACTATATATATAGTAAAATATATAGTAAAAAACAAAAATACCACGGATTTTCAAATACATGACATAGAACACATATTCACAATTTAAAAGCTGCTCTGTCATAGTTAAAAGAATTCTATATTAAGGTACATGGATCCACTGTTCAGAGAGTCTTTAAAATAAATATTGAAAATGTAACATGTCCATACCAAAAAGATAGACATCTGTTTCTCTCGAGCAGCATGTTTCAAATCAGTGAAGGCTTCTCTTCCAAGTCCTCTATCAGGAATATTGAGAATATGAGCCAGAGCCAAGTCGTTCTTTGAATTCACCAGCAGGTTTAAATATGAGTAGATAATTTTCTTTGCTAGTAACTGTACCTGTACAATAAAATATTTTCTTTATTGAAGGTTTCTAAATTCATAAATAATCTTTTTATTTATTTATTTTTTATTGAAGTATACGTGATTTACCAATGCTGTGCCAATCTCTGCTGTGCAGCAAAGTGACTCAGTTATACACACATAGACATTCTTTCATATTCTTTTCCATTATGGTTTATCAGAGGACATTGAATATAGTTCTCCATGCTATACAGTAGGACCTTGTTGTTTATCAATTCTAAGTGTAATAGTTTGCATCTACCAACCCCAAACTCCCAGTCCATCCCTCTCCCTCCCCCCACCACCCTTGGCAACCACAAGTCTGTTCTCTATATCTATGAGTCGGTTTTTGTTTTGTAGATAAACTTATTTGTGCCATATTTTAGATTTCACATATAAGTGATATAATATGGTATTTGTCTTTCTCTTCCTGACTTACTTCACTTAGTATGATAATCTCTAGTTGCATCCATGTTGCTGCAAATGGCATTATTTCATTATTTTTTATGGTTGAGTAGTATTCCATTGTATACATATACCACATCTTTAACCATTCACCTGTCAATGGACATTTAGGTTGTTTCCATATTTTGGCTATTGTGAACAGTGCTGCTATGAATATAGGGGTGCATGTATCTTTCTGAACTATAGTTTTGTCCAGGTATATTCCCAGGAGTGGGACTGCTGGATCATATGGTAACTCTATTTTCAGCTTTCTGAGGAGCCTCCATACTGTTTTCCATAGGGGCTGTACCAACTTACATTCCCACCAACAGTGTTGTAGGGTTCCCTTTGCTCCACACCCTCTCCAGCATTTGTTATTTGTAGATTTTTTAATGATGCCCATTCTGACCAATGTGGTACCTCACTGGAGTTGTTTTTTTTTTAACATCTTTATTGGAGTATAATTGCTTTACAATGGTGTGTTAGTTTCTGCTTTATAACAAAGTGAATCAGCTATACATATATCCCTATATCTCTTCCCTCTTGCATCTCCCTCCCTCTCACCCTCCTTATCCCACCCCTCTAGGTGGTCACAAAGCACCGAGCTGATCTCCCTGTGCTATGCAGCTGCTTCCCACTAGCTATCGATTTTACATTTGGTAGTATATAGAAGTCCATGCCACTCTCTCACTTCGTCCCAGCTTACCCTTCCCCCTCCCCGTGTTGTCAAGTCCATTCTCTAGTAGGTCTGAGTCTTTATTCCTGTCCTGCCCCTAGGCTCTTCAGAACGTTTTTTTTTTTTAGATTCCATATATATGTGTTAGCATATGGTATTTGTTTTTCTCTTTCTGACTTACTTCACTCTGTATGACAGACTCTAGGTCCATCCACCTCACTACAAATAACTCAATTTCATTTCTTTTTATGGCTGAGTAATATTCCATTGTATATATGTGCCACATCTTCTTTATCCATTCATCTGTCAATGGACACTTAGGTTGCTTCCATGTCCTGGCTATTGTAAATAGAGCTGCAATGAACATTGTGGTACATGACTCTTTTTGAATTATGTTTTCCTCAGGGTATATGCCCAGTAGTGGGATTGCTGGTAGTTCTGTTTTTAGTTTTTTAAGGAACCTCCATACTGTTCTCCATAGTGGCTGTATCAATTTACATTCCCACCAACAGTACATTTTCTCCACACCCTCTCCAGCATTTACTGTTTGCATATTTTTTGATGATGGCCATTCCGACTGGTATGAGTTGATACCTCATTGTAGTTTTGATTTGCATTTCTCTAATAATTTAGTGATGTTGGGCATCTTTTCAAGTAACTACTGGCCATCTGTAGATCTTCTTTGGAGAAATGTCTAGTAAGCTCTTCTGCCCATTCTTCGATTGGGTTGTTTTTTTTGTTGTTGTTGAGTTGTATGAGCTGTTTATATATTTTGGAGATTAAGCCCTTGCCTGTCGTATCATTTGCAAATATTTTCTCCCATTCCAACAATCTTTTTTTAATACGCAGCAAAAATACTTATGATCATTCAATGACAGTATCTCACTCAGCTCTTTGGGAAAAGAGAATTGCCATATAAATCAAAAGTTTGGGTTGAACAATGAACATATCCTGGCTCGTGAAACCAACTTGCCACCGATGAGAATCTATAAGTAAATAACAACTATCATAATTGTTGGAAAATGACTCTTAGAAAATGATATAAAAGATACAGCTGAATTTCTGATGAGACCTGATCTCATTTCCCTA